TTAATTTATTTATTTATTGCATTAGCCGAGTGGCCATAGCATGATATACATTGAAATAACAACATAAAATGGGGGTGGGGAGGTAGAGGTAGACATCGTCCTGGGCGAATACTTAAAGAAAGTGAAAAAAATCAAAAAAACAAAAGCAGCTGAGGCTGGAGGAGGACCGTTAAAGGGTCCTTCAGCTCCTCAGATTAGTCCTAACTCGATTGTCCTTGTACAATAAGGCTACTTGGAACTTCGTTCGGTTGTGCGGCGTATCGACTGCATCTGTGGTGTTAAGGAAGAAGTTAGTGCCGCTTTCCTCTTCATCACACTAAGCAGGAAATTAGCTGTCATCTCAGTAATCCAACAATCAGAATCCTGCAAGATGAGGGACACTATCCAAGGCTGGATTGGGAGATGGAACTTATTCACGAGGGGAGTTAAAAACCGAGATCTTTCATCTGTCCAGTTGGGACAGAAGAGCATTACATGTTCCATAGTCTCCAGGGCCGTGTCATTACAGGAGCATGTTCTGTTTGCGATGGGAACTCTGGAATAACGACCCGACAGAACTGCTGTAGGAAAACAGTTGAGACGGGCACAGGTAAAAGCCCTTCGCTTAGTCTCCGAAGAAATTGTGAAGCAGTATAGAGGGATCCCTTCAGGGGGTGGGATAGCTAGGGCTAGGCCTGAACACGGTCCTCTTGCACAAGAAGCTGTGTTGGAGAAGTCAAGTTGCTGTAGTTTCTTTGTAATGAGGGGTAGGGCCACCGGGCTGATACACTCTAAGTTAAGAACAGTTTTACAATTCAGATTGAGAAGAGAGCGGAATTTGAGGTTAATTGTAGTTTTCAAGGGAATTATGAATATCTCTTAGGATCAGATTGGAAAAGCCACCTCTAATTCGAGCATCCGATGCTAATAGGTGGAGGGTGTAGGAAATGGCTCGGCTCCATGCTCGTCTAGCAATTGAAGGCTGGGCGAACTCGAGTCGTAGGGCTGCACCTGAGACACATCTCGGGACGCCGGAAAGAGATCTCAGAAACATATGAAGTGGACGATCCAGGTTACCTGATATTGCTGTAGTCCATACTTCACATCCATATAATAATTTAGGGACGACTTTGGCATTAAATATTTGAATTGCTGCTGGAAGGTGTTTGCTGCCCTTCTGGTGGTAAAATCGGACAATGGCGTTAGAGGTCGTGGTTGCAGCGAGAAAGGCAGATTGTAGATGGGTGGTCCAGGAGAGATTATAGGTGAATATTAATCCTAAATATTTAAAGGCTTTTACCTTTTCTAAGTAGCCACCTGTGATCTTAAGCGGCTCCAACTTGAGTTTGCGGGAACGAGTGAAGTGGAGGACTTTCGATTTTTTATAATTAATATTAAGTTGGCAATTTTGATCGCCGGCGACGATGATTAAACCCTTGGCTCTCGTCTTTGACCTCTCTTACAGAGCAGCAAGTCACAGAGTTCGTTTCGCAAAGGTAAGCTGTGGAGTTCCCTCTTCCCCTTTAAAAATAAGAACATAAGATGAGCCTGCTGGAACAGGCCAATGGCCCATCGAGTCCCCCTTCCTGTTCTCATAGCAGCCAAGCAGAAGCCCCAATGGGAAGCAGACAAGCAGGATTCGAATACGAGCCCCCTCTCCATTCCTCTGGTTTCCAGCAACTGGTGTTTAGAACCATTGCTGCCTCTGACTACGGAGTCAGATCATCCATCGTGGCTAGAAGCTACGACAGCCCTCTTTTCCTCCACGGATTTGTCCAATCCTCTTTCGAAGCTGGCCACCCCTGCCTCCCGTGGCAATGAGTTCCATAGTTTGCACTGCGCGAAGAAGGACTTCCTTTTAGCTTTTTGTTTCTGAAGTTTTGGCTTGTTTGTTCAACAGGCCATGAGTGACAGCGGCTTCCACGTCCTGTCTGTTGACTACCGAGGTAAGTTCTGACGCACAAATAATGCCGGGCTCTTGCGGGACACGCGGATGATGTGTTTCCCTCTGATCCTTCATCCGATGCCTCCCTCCAGGCTACGCAGACTCCACCGGCCACCCCAGCGAAAATGGCTTCACCACGGACATCCTGTTTGTCTACGACTGGGTCAAAGCCCGCAGCCGCAACAGCACAGTCATCTTCTGGGGCCACTCGATGGGCACTGGGTAGGTTTTGCGTTCTCAGTCCTGTCTCCAGACACCCTCTTTATTGTGGATTCTGTTGGAAACACGCCCGGGAAGGCTGCCAACTTCCCAAGTCATTGGGACATCTCTCTGGCCGTAAATCTCCCTCAGTCCAGAGGGACCGGTAATAAGCGACCCCTCTCCTCTGAGAAGAGCACGCTAGTCTTCTAGCTTATAGTAGCAGAAGAGAGACTCAATCAGTAATTCTAAACTACTTTATTTACTGTCTTATAATACAGAGACTCCATCAGTACATCTGTGCTCTTTGAACACCAGTACAGAACTGCATCGGGACGCAGGTGGCGCTGTGGGTTAAACCACAGAGCCTAGGACTTGCCGATCAGAAGGTCGGCAGTTCGAATCCCCACGACGGGGTGACCTCCCGTTGCTCGGTCCCTGCTCCTGCCAACCTAGCAGTTCGGAAGCACGTCAAAGTGCAAGTAGATAAATAGGTACCACTCTGGGAGGAAGGTAAACGGCGTTTCCGTGCGCTGCTCTGGTTCGCCAGAAACGGCTCAGTCATGCTGGCCACATGACCCGGAAGCTGTACGCCGGCTCCCTCGGCCAGTAAAGCGAGATGAGCGCCGCAACCCCAGAGTCGGCCACGACTGGACCTAATGATCAGGGGTCCCTTTACCTTTACTTTACAGAACTGCATCACATACAGAAGTGAAACTAACTTCCAACAGTACTCAGACTTCCTGTCTCACACTCACTCAGACACTCACATGATGTATACAGAACATAGTACAATAGTAGCACTCACTGAAGCATCTCGGATAGATAAAAATCCTAACATCACTCACCCATTTTTAGGTAACCGTTTCTGTGTAAGCTAGTGCAGAATCAAGTGACATAAACAAACAGTTGTCATACACATAGTATACCCCTGTTGTACCAGTTCCACTTTTGGAACTACCTGCAACTGGATTGACCAGTTCAAACCTCTGGTTACCTGTCTTCCATGGGACTAGAGCTTTTGCTCTATCTTGGTCTGAGGAAACAGTGTTGACCCTTGCAACCTTCAGGTGTGGTTTTGTCTCTCCTGTGGACAAACCTGGTACCTCACTCAAGACCTCAGTGTCTGAAACATAGTTTGAGTTGGGGAGAGCACTCTTGTGTTCGAATTCTGCTCGCTGGTTTCCCACAGGCAGGTGTGTCCAGGGCGGCTGTCTACCAGCTCTCTCTGGTATGCAGGCTGAGACCCTCCCTGCCCACAGACTGTCTCACCAGAGTGGTGCATGCTCTGCTTTATCTCCCGCTTGGACTACTGCAACGCGCTCTATCTGGGGCTACCTTTGAAGGTGACCCGGAAACTACAACTAATCCAGAATGCGGCAGCTAGACTGGGGACTGGGAGCAGCCGCCGAGACCACATAACACCGGTCTTGAAAGACCTACATTGGCTCCCAGTACGTTTCCGAGCACAATTCAAAGTGTTGGTGCTGACCTTGAAAGCCCTAAAGGGCCTCGGCCCAGTAGACCGGAAGGAACGTCTCCACCCCCATCGTTCACCCTGGACACTGAGGTCCAGCTCCAAGGGCCTTCTGGTGGTTCCCTCCCTGCGAGATGTGAGGTTACAGGAACCAGGCAGAGGGCCTTCTTGGTGGTGGCCCCCATCCTGTGGAACGCCCTCCCATCAGATCTCAAAGAAATAAACTGCTATCTGACATTTAGAAGACATCTGAAGGCAACCCTGTTTAGGGAAGTTTTTATTGACTGATGTTTTAATGTCTTTTTAATCTTTTGTTGGAAGCCGCCCAGAGCGGATGGGGAAACCCAGGCAGATGGGTGGGGTAATAATAATAATAATAATAATAATAATAATAATAATAATAGCCGGTCCCCATGAGAACAGGATGTCAGGCTCAATGAGTCATTGGCCTGATCCAGCAGAGATCTTCTGGGCCTGCAATGTGACAATATCCCTCTTTCCTGTTTCCCTGCAGAATTGCTACCAACACTGCTAGGAGGCTGAAAGAAAAAGGTAATTATTAATATCTGTGTGTGGAAGGGTCACGGCCTCACAATCCAAGGGGGCCTGCTTGTGGGTACATAGGTAGCTGCAAAGTGCTGTCCACAACAGATCTCCAGCATTTTAGACAAGGGAGCCTGTTCCTAAATTCTACCTGGAGGCACCGGGGATCGAACCTGCGACCTTCTGCCCCCAAGGCAGATGCTCTGCCACTGAGCTACAGATTAGAGAGAGGCATTTGCGCACGCTTTTGTGTGAAGGACATGGCCTGGTGGCGCTGTGGGTTAAACCACAGATCCTAGGACTTGCCGATCAGAAGGTTGGCGGTTCGAATCCCTGCGACGGGGTGAGCTCCCATTGCTCGGTCCCTGCTCCTGCCAACCTAGCAGTTCGAAAGCACGTCAAAGTGCAAGTAGATAAATAGATATCGCTCCGGTGGGAAGGTAAATGGCGTTTCCATGTGCTGCTCTGGTTCTCCAGAAGCGGCTTAGTCCTGCTGGCTACATGACCTGGAAGCTGTACGCCGGCTCCCTCGGCCAATAAAGCGAGATGAGCGCCACAACCCCAGAGTCAGGGGTCCCTTTACTTTTACAGGGTTATTAAACCTTTAAACTAAGCCAGCGTGGTGTAGTGGTTAAGAGTGGTGGACTAGTAATCTGGTGAACCTGGTTCGCGTCTCCGCTCCTCCACATGCAGCTGCTGGGTGACCTTGGGCTAGTCACACTTCTCTGAAGTCTCTCAGCCTCACTCACCTCACAGAGTGTTTGTTGTGGGACAGGAAGGGAAAGGAGAATGTGAGCCGCTTTGAGACTCCTTCGGGTAGTGAGAAAGCGGGATATCAAATCCAAACTCCTCCTCTTCTTCTTCTTGGAAGTGAGGAGATTGGCTTTTGCATAGGGTCAGCAAATTGGGGGCATGAGCCACAGATTTGGCCCTGAAATCCGTTTCAGTGGACGTGGATTCCTCAAGGGTGTTTCTGAGCATGTTCAAAACGCCCTGCAATGATTTTGTGTCGGCAGCAATCGAACACTGCTCCATTTTGTTGGAATCTGCTTTGCAGTTGTTCTGGAGGGCTAACAGGACTCCCTCTCCACACCCTCCTCAAATTTTGCAAGTTGACTGTTCAAGTCAGCCTGGATTTCTGTATATTTTGTCTCTGTCGGACTGGAATAGCTTGCTGTCCTGGTTCTTCTGGTGGGGAGAAGCTGCCTTTCTCCAGGGATTTGTCCTGGCGTCTCTCCAAGGGCTTTTCGTAGAATTAAATCGCAGAATCGTAAAGTTGAAAGGGACCACCAAGGATCTAACTCCCTAATACAGGAATCACAGCTAAGGAATCACTGACAGATGTCAATCCAGCCTCTTTTTAAAAACCTCCAAGGATGGAGAGTCCATCACCTTTTGAGGGAGTCCGTTCCACTGCTGACAGCTCTTGCCATCCAAAAGTGCCTCTTAAGAAATTATGATATGATATGATATGATATGATATATGATATGATATGATAGAATAATATAATATAATATAATATAATATAATATAATATAATATAATATAATATAATATAATAATATATAATTTTTATTTATACCCTGCCCTCCCCAGCCAAGACTGGGTTCAGGGCGGCTAACACCAGGTATAAAAACAATTGATTGAAATACAACTTAAAAACAAGATTAAAATACAACATTAAAATGCAGCCTCATTTCAGTAGGAACTCAAATCAAAAACTTTTTGGGGGGATGAAAACGTCAAATCTTCACCAAAGCCAAGTATCCAGACTGGTCCTACATGGGCCAAAAAAAAAAAAAGCCAGGGAAGTCCCCAAGTAGACTATGACTTTCCTTGATCTGGACACTCGACTTGCGTTGATGCAGCCCAGAACTGCGTTTGCTTCCACTTTCATTTTCCAATTCCCACCTCTTCCCCCTGCAGATGGAACCATAGTCGACGCTCTGGTTCTGGAGGCTCCTTACACCAACATCCGGGATGCAGCTGCCACCATCCCCGTTACAAAAGTAAGATTTAGTGCTCTTCTTTCGCGGCCCTCTTGCTGCCACTGAAACAGCTTGCTGAGCAACTCTGTAAACAGCGGGGTGTGCCAGCCGGCAAGCGGTTTTAATTTCTATTCTCTTTGGCCGGGGTGGGGAACTTCAGCCCAGATAGCCAAATATGGCCTCTCAGTGTACCTTGAGCAAAAGTCAAATGTAACATGACAAGAGGCATTCGAAGTCATACCATTGGTCCAGCATCCTGTTCTCACAGTGGCCACCTAGATGCCCCAATGGGAAACACATAAGCAGGATCCGAGCGCAAGGATCCTGCGGGTTCCAGTGACTGGTATTCAGAACCATTGCTGCCTTTGACCAGAGGATAGCCATTGTGGCTAGTGGCTGTTGATAGCCTTCTGCCCCATCAATTTGTCCAATCCTCTTTGAAAGCCCTCCCAAGTTGGTCGGCACCACTGTTGCGTTCTGAGGCCAAAGGACAGGACTGTACCCTGATTAAAATAAGACACGAGGCTTTGACCGGCAAGGCTCTCGGAGGAAGTGCGTAAACCACACCCCTAACCAGGCCATTATATTAACAAAAGAATCCTTCACACAGTGCTCTTGAGAACCAATCATATTTCCCTTGAGCATTTCATCAAACCCCACGTGGGAACAAAGTTACACTACAACACTAATTAGCATGCATATATTTTGGGGTAAATAAGTTGAGAACTACAAAGGGAGCATCTGGCAACCCCAGAGGTGAGAAATATACATGATAAGAAGGATGGCCAGATGGCCAGAAAGACAGGATCATTATCACCTTCATGTGAGATCTGTTTCCTGGCTCCAAGATTAACATTTTAAGATTAACAATCAGAAAAGCTACATCAAAGAAACTGCCCATAGTCTTAGATAACCCAGGACTCTTGCCTGTCTGTCAGCGTATGTGACTTGTCAGGAAAGAGAAATGGAACAGGGATGCAGAGGTGTGGATTGATCAAGAATCATATCAAAATAGTTTAAACCCAGTCAACGCAATGCTTTCATTGCTGACACAGATGGCTTACTCTATATTTGTTACAATTCCTCATAGCAATCCCACCTGATCGCTACACCCCACTGCCTCCTGCAGCAGTGAGTTCCGCAGTTTAATGATGTGCTGCGCGAAGGAGTGCTTTCTTTTGCCTGTCCTGAGTTGGAGGCAGTGTGCCTCCAGGTGCCAGTTGCTCCGAATAGTGCTGGAACATCCTGAAATGCAAGACTCCCCTTCGAAAGTGGCGACCTGCCAGCCTCTTGGGAGGCTTCTGTTTACACCGGCCTTCCCTTGATCTCTCAATCGGCATCTCGTGTTTTCAATGCTGTGCTGTTTTAATGAGTCTGTCTTATCATGGACATTTATATGCTAGCTTTGTTGCGTGTTTTAATTATGCTGTGTGGTTTTGTTTTGTTTTGTTTTGTTTGAAGTCATCTACTATTAGTCAAAGGAAAATTACTGACTTCTTTAAATTTGACAACCCACCAAGATCAGCGTTCCCCCCTTCCCCATTGTGACTACCCAAACCTCAGTCAAATCCTCCCCCGTTCTCCCTTTTAAGCTGGAACATAGCAGGTTGGAGGGGAAAAAATCTGACCCGGACTTTGTAAAACTAATAAACTCACACCAAGTAATTCTCTTGCAGGAAACATGGGAAGAGGGAGAGTAGATATTAATGGTTTTGATGTTACATCATTACCGGCATGCCCGTCTACTAAAGGAGGCCGGCCCAGTGGAGGATTAGTTATAGCAATTTCCTTGAAAATACAGGCAAAACTCACGCTTGTAAATGCTTCCATCTTTGCAATTACAGCCCTGATTACGGGAAAAACTTTGAACTTGTTATAACAAATGTTTATCTTCCTCCTGGAGGCAATATTGCAGACTTACACAATAAATGGGGAATCTTGGAGGAACATCTCACTCATTGTCACTCCAAATACCCCAATATACCCAATGTTATAGCAGGGGACTTCAATGCTCGCATTGCAACAAACTGGGAGTCTTTAATCAAAGCCAAATGGTGGATAACCCCAGAATTCATTAATGACCTCTCCCTCCATAATCAAAGACTTTCTAAAGACAAAAGGGTAAATGAAGCAGGAACCCTTCTTTACCAATTGGTACTACGTCTAAACTTAGTGATTCTAAACGGGAACTGCCCGCCAGACGTACCGGGTGAGTTTACACACATAAGCTCCTCTGCAAACAGTGTCCTGGATTATATGTTAGTATCTCATGACATATTCCCCAAATTTTCCCATTTTAAAGTCGAAAACTTTCAACTGAGCGACCACTTACCGTTGGTCGCCACAATGACTATAGACTGGACTCCAGATGGAGACAAGCACCCAACACATCTGACTACGAACTCAGCATTGCAAATCAAAAGTGTAAAATGGTCCGAACTACAGGCCCAAAAATACTCAGCATATTTCCAACAAGGGCTAAAACAAGCATATTCAGGCTTAATCGAGAATTATTATGATTATGACCAAACTCTAAGATTATTCTCGAATCTGTCAGAAGATCTAACGTCTTTTTTCTCTGTCCCGACGCATAAAATAAATAGAACACAAAGGAAGATAGGTGCCTTGTGGTTCAATAGTGCTTGTAAACAGGCTAGACAACTTCTTGGTAACATCTACAAAGAGTATAAAGCCTCCGGGGCAACGGTCTTGCCAAAAGAATACTTCCAAGCAAAATCAGCCTACAAGCAAATTCAAAAGGGAGCCAGACAGGAATGGCAAGTGAATCAATGGCGAACAATCATAGAAGCCTCATCATCACGGAACTCCAGACAATTTTGGCTCCTGGTAAATAAAAGAACTAAAAGATACCCTTTGACTATTATTCCTGCCCCGGTTTGGGAATCCTACTTAAAAACTACTTTGCCACAACTGACTGTATTGCTAACACAAGAGATGATTTTCAAGATCAGCTTCCCCTCTGGCCCCCCACCGACCCGGAAGACATCCATGACTTGATCGTTAAACTCAAAACAGGGAAAGCGCCTGGGCCAGACCTGATCCCGGCAGAAGCTATAAAATACCACGCGGACTGGTGGGCTAAAGTTCTGGCGACCATCTTTGATGCCGTTAACAACTCTGGAAAGATCCCGGAAGTATGGAAGGACGCTGTTATCGTTCCAATCCACAAAAAGGGCTCACCAGATGACCCGGGGAATTACAGAAATATCAGTCTACTCTCAATAGTGGGGAAACTGTATGCCCGCTTCTTGCTGAACAGACTTAACCAATGTGCCGAAGAGAAAAATTAATTGGGCCCGAACAAGCTGGATTCCGCCCAAAACAGTCAACAATTAATCATATTCTAATTTTACAGCATCTTGCCTGGAAATATTCCACCCCAAAGGGTGGCCAACTCTGTGTGGCATTCATTGACCTAAAGGCAGCATTCGATAGTATCCCCAGGAACATCCTCTGGGAAAAACTCTCCCGCTGGGGCATCGATAGAAGGCTTCTCTGGCTAATAATCAAACTCCATGAGAACTCAGCGGCTAGAGTGAGACTCACCCCGGAGGGTGATCTCACCAATCCAATTCCCATTAACAGAGGTGTCCGACAGGGTTGTATATTGGCTCCATTCCTGTTCAACTTATTCATAAGCGATATGAGGACTCCCTAATAGAGGCTCAAGAAAGGATTCATGCACCCCGCCTAGCACTTTATCGCTGCCCTTTGTTACTGTATGCGGATGACGCAGTCATCCTTTCCTTTTCTAGAGTAGGTCTCAGGAGGGCCTTAAAAATTTTGGATCGTACTGTAACGCAAATTCCCTTACAATTAATTATGGAAAATCTAAGATTCTAATTTTCTCAAAGAGCCGGAAACTCCATAATTGGAGAATTGATGGGAGAGTCATCGAACAAGTCTATAGATTCCAATACTTGGGAGTTTGGTTACAACATAACCTTAGATGGAAGGCCCATGTAGCCTATGTTACAAATAGAGCCAAAGCTATCTCCTTGGCGATCTTGCGATTCTTCTTCACCGATGGGGCTCTTCATATCCCATCGGCGTTGAAAGTCTTCAAGGCCAAGGTGATCCCGACAATTGCCTATGCCATCTCAATTTGGGGGACTTTTGTCAATCTATCTCACCTAGAGGTTATTCAAAATCAGTTTTTAAGAGGGATATTGAAACTGCCCAACTGTGTAAGTAATACAGCGTTACGCATGGAACTTAATACTGTATCCCTGGAAACGCTCTGTGGAAGCACATACTTTGTCACTGGTTATCTCTATGGCACAATCTCCCAAACTTGTACTTGATACAATGTATGTGGAGAGATGATTTCAGAGCCCATGGGTAAAAATTTACAGCTGAAAATAATGACAATGGGAATCTCCCCATCCAAATTACTAGAGCAGGACATAGTTCCAGCTAAAAGAACAGTAACCTGTAAACTAGAGGAGATGGACTTGCAGCAGAAAATGGTCTTGGGCAATGGTACCTGCTCACCTCTAAACCTTGGTTTATCACCCCTCTTAAGGCTCCCAAACTATTTGAATTCCTTAACTTCTTCGGCTCATAGATATGCCTTTGTAAAGGCAAGATTCAACACCTTCCCATCGAACATGCTGAGAAATAGATTCTCCAATGGACAGATATCGCTCTTATGTGATTGTAATTGTGGGGCACCGGAATCGTTGCATCACATAATTTTTGACTGTGCTTTTCACTCATCGGCCAGGAGCAAGTTTCTTGCCCAATATCTAAAGGGAATTGCCGATGATACGAATGAAGCCAAACTGAGATATCTATTAAATGATGATGACCCCCTAAGATCACTCACGGTTGCCAGATTCTTGATCAGTGTCCTATCCCTAAAGAAGAGAAACGGACTCCTGTGTGGCTCGGAAAATCCCTTTAAACCATGATCTATGTTTTAGGATGTAACTAGGTGAATCACCATTGATGTCTTTTATTGATCTGTGAGCAGATGGTGATGGTTATGTTACAAATTT